ATCTGTAAAAATGAAATTACAACTATAGGTGTGGTAGATGCACAAGGTAAAATAGTTAACAAAAAACAGGTCATTTTATCTTCCTGCTAAATGGTTGTCAGCCAATGCAATGGTATATTGATATAGATAAGAACCTTCAGTTTGGCTGTTAACTCCTGGTGGTCTAGGAGAAGTTGAGATAAAGATTTTGTGTATTATAGAAAGACACACTCGTTTTATTGATTCAACATTAGGTTTTTAACTCGCTGAACCACTTGTTAGCTCTAGCTTTGGCATGAAGACACTGCTAACTAATCATATCACCACCTGTTTGAGCCATAAAAAAAAAGTTGATTAGACCAATTTATTTGCACTTTTCCTCAAGTCTTGTCATTGTGTGGATGATCAATAATTAGATTATAATTAAGCATTTACTTCAAACTCTGCTTTTAAACTCTGACATTAAAATAAATGGTTATTCATATCTTAATGCTATCACCATCTGGTTAGTAAGTTAGATGTGAAACCAAAAAGGACTGAGACTTTGAAACAATGTAACCTGCAGCGTCGCACAAATGCAAGGTGACTAATGATTAAAGCAAACCTGCAGGACACCTCTCCAGGGTCGACCCACACCGTCAGCTCCTGGGGCAGGCCCAGGTCCTCGTACCTCACCCCGCTCCGCTCACAGGCCTGCTCCAGCACCGGGTCCTGCAGCCGAACACGGTTCATACGCAGACACCTGAAAAACACCCGGCAGCTCAAAGCAAGTTTTTTTTGTTTTGTTTTTTTAAATAGTGTTGCAATTTCACATGGTCACCAAGATATCAAGTCCAGTAAAAATCCAATTAAAATATAGATGGAAGAGTAGTAGTTGGTGCCAGTTAAAGGTGGTTTAAAACCAGACAATTAGGAATGGCATCAGCACATTAGTTCTTTAAATGGTACAAAAACAAACTGAGGATCTCCCTTTCATGAATCCTAAAATTGTACGATTTCTGTATGTCCCGAATCAAATGAGAAAATACAGAATATAGAACTATAGAGTCGCCTGTAGTGTGCAATGCAAGCCCCATTTGTTTTAATTAGAGCACAAAAAGAGGGGGTGGGGGGTATTTCGCACCACAACACCTAATATTACAGGGTCTAGCACCACTCAAAGTGAGCAGTGGAACACAACTTTGTGCATTTACTCCAGTACTTTACTTAAGCACAGCTGCAATGCAAATGTATTTCTATTGTGCTCTATCTGCTCCCTGCACCACCGTAAGGAGTCTCGTACTTTGAGTCTTCAGACCTCTCCTTTGGTTGCTCAGATAAAGTGAGCAGATTCTAAGTCAAGCATTTTTCTGAGCAGCTGAGCAAAGCTTAAAATTAACCTGCCAACATTTAGATTGATATCCATTATATTCCTGTGAATAAACCTGAGAGCTGCAGTCCTGCTTCTTACTGAGAGTAAGAGTGGAGCATTACAAGTGTTTTTCCAGGTGTTTTGATCATTTACAAGGTTAAATAACTCAAGTATAACAGTTGGTATTTTAAGTAAAGAATCAATACTTTCAATTACAAAGTGGGTTCATAATATTTGTTGCATTTCTGAAGGCAGCAAGAGTTTCATAACTTTACAATTTTAAAGATTTGGATACTTTATAGCCCAGTACATTTAATACAATCAGCAGCTGCAACATTAAAGTGATATTCATTAAAAATAAAATCAGTAATTGTATCAAAATATACAAAATAACAAAGTTACTAAAGCAAACATTCATTAAGAATTTTGACTGAGAAACATTATTTCAGCAGTGAGACCTTTACCTAAGGATAGATACTTTACAAAACAGCTGTTCACTACAAAGAGGTTCTCAGGCTCCGACTCAGCCACTTCATTTTTATCTATACAGCACCAAATCACAACAACAGTCACCTCAAGGCAGCTTATGCTCAAAGTTAACATGCCTGCAATAACACTCTGGATGCAGTACATGTACATAAACCACCAGTCTGAAAAATAATACTTAAATCGTTTTATTTTTAAACATTTATTTCTGATCAAATAATCTGATTTCCTGTGGGTCCCCGACCAACTTGTCTTATAGTAAATCCATACAACTTAAGAGGGTGCCAAATGGATACACATTCAAGCTTTGAAACAAAGTTTTTCCTCTTAAATTTAATTGTTTTAATTTTTAATATTATGTTTGGTTAACTTTTCATTTTTAAAAAGGGAAGCAGGACCTTCAGCCATTTTGAAACAACCAAAAAAAAAAAAAAAATTGCTTTTGGATTACTGACCTGTAGGCCTGACCCCTGGCGGGTGCACTTGGGTGCCAGTGGTTCTTGTAGTTCTCAAAAAGAAGGGAGGTGAGGGAAGCAGCAAAGCGCTCTCTGCTGTCATTGTCCAGACATCCGTATCTCTTCACCAGCCGAGCCAAAAAGAACACAGCGGCAGCAATTTCCTCCTTCATGGCGACACACTTACCGAGCACAGCAAACTGAAACCGTAATTTAAAAAAATTATCTCTTCAGATAAAACGCATGTAAGGACCCTAGTACCACAGAAAATAAAAACGTCCAGAGCAAAGTGGAAACCAAACAATTCAAGCAAACATATTTGCTGCTGAAGCTCAACAGAGAACTCAGCTTGGATTGTAAGGCAGCTTCATCAAAGACACCAAAACACAAATATATCCACATGCATCTAGATGTGCAAACGCAGCAGCACCCTTCTCAGCAGTGAAACCTCACTCAAATCAAATTCTAAAAGAGTTTTTAATAAAACCACCGTTCAGCTGTGCGACCAGCTGCCACAGCTGATGCTGATTTACTTAATGACTCCTCTCAGGGTTAAAATGTAAACAATGCCCTCTCTGCACTTCTTCAATGTTAAAATGCCCCAAATTCAATGAAATGTGTGAACAGTTCTGTGCAGCAGGAACAGACTTCTACATTAAATCTGTCCATAAAGCCCAAGCAGAGAGAATATTTACATTTCTCAGCTCATCAGCACATAAGAAGAGAGGCATTTCTGATGATGGTGCAAGACTGAAAAAGTTGTTTTTACAACTTATATTTATTTTGTTGAGTCAGTTTCATTTAAAATCACTTTCACTTATTTATGGTGATACTGTTGTGCAAGACGGTTCTGGGGCCGTTCTCTGTGGAGCTTGGATGTTCTATACCTGCACGTGTTCTCCGTGGTTCCTCCCACAGTCCAGAGACATACATGTTTCTAGAGTGATTCTAGAAATATGCATGATGGACTAGCAGCCATCATAATCCTAGCAAGATATTTACCTCTGGAGTTGTTAGTCAGTGATTACATCGAGCCTATTTTGTATTTTAAATGTGACACTAATCATTCTTGTAATTGATTATTTACTTTCATACAATAAATATGTAGCTTGCAAGGAAAAAGAACAATACATATATTTTTGTTATTCATTTGTTTGGCGTTCACGAACAGCCTATTTTGTCACCTGACTATATACGGTGATATGATGAAGATGAAAGGAATAACGTGATAAATTAACACGTCTGCCATGTCATGTCTTTTCATACATGAGCGAAGCAATTGTGCCACAGGCCTGGCAAAAACCATTACAGTGCACAGAAAGCCAGAGGCAGGGAACACAGCTGTGAGATACCAATGTAAGTTTTCCCAAACAGTTTATCAGACAGGTCCAAGGTTGTTGCCTCAATTTTGGGAAAATGAGTGAAACAAACACAGATCCTTTTTTTGTACACGCAAGTGAAACCTTCCTCTAAGTAGGCCTGGAAATTATTCTCTTGATAAACTGATCAATCGGTCAACTATCCTATTAACAAGGAAATCTGGCTTTTTTTTTTTCAGGTTTCAACATGACAAATAGTCATGCAATCTACTTCAAACACACATTTTTGCTTTTCTTTTTAACCTCACTAATAAAACAGGGATTGTCTCCTTGTTAGTTTTTTTCTGCTTCACTTACCCCATCCCTCATCCAGTCCTTGAACCTTGATGATGTATCACTGGGGACCTAAGTAAGCTTCACAGTTTAGTCTTTTCCATGTTGCTGATCCTTTGATATTGCTCTCTTGCTCGCTATATAAATATCTCTTCTCATATGTGCAAAAGTTTTAGGAAGGTGTGAAAAAATGCTGTGAACAAAGAAAGCTTTAAGAAATATAAATGATTGTTTATTGGCCCCAAATGTATTCTGCAGTAGGATGACAACTCCAAACAAACACCCAAAGCCATTAAGAACTATCTTCAGCATAAAGAAGAACAAGAAGTACTGGAAGCGATGGTACGGCCCCCACAGAGCCCTGATCACATCATCGAGTGTGTCTGGGATTACATGAAGAGACAGAAGGATGCAAGGAAGCCTACATCCACAGAAGATCTGTGTTTAGTTTTCCAAGATGTTTGTAACAATCTACCAAACAAGTTTCTTCAAAAACTGTGTGCAAGTGTACCTAGAAGAATGCAAAGGGTGGTCACACCAAATAAAGATTTGATGTAGATTTCTCTTTTGTTCCTTCACTGCATTTTATTGATTAATGAAAATAAATGATTAACACTTCCATTTTTGAAAGCATTCTTTGTCTACAGCATTTTTCCCTCACCTGCCTAAAACTTTAAATATCTAAAAAAATCTCTCTATATAATTTTTAACTCTTAGATGTGGTATTAATGTGACAGCACATAACTTTTCTCCCCCAAGAGAACAAATGATATTTACCAATACTAATAAAAAGTTACTGTTATTTACTTATATCATCTACTTTTACATACATTTTTATTCATCATAAAATTTTTTTAAAAATCCATGAAATAGATTTTATCAACTGACAAACACACAAAATTAATAATCACAGCTTATATTTTAATAATAAGTGAACAGTGAGTTTATATTCTGTCAAAAAAAAGAAAGGAAAAAAGAAAGATGTCTTTATACAGCAATGATACAAGCTAATCACAAATAAAAGTGCAAATGATCAGTGGGAGTGAAGAGAACACTTACAAAATAAAGATTTTCTTCTGCTTTCAGACTTTAAAAGAAGACGAAAATTTGGCAGTTACAAAGTTTCATAATTAAGTTACTTTAAACAGTAAAATGATGAAATTTAAGTGTGTCCGGACCCATCAGGACAAGAAACATTGCCTTTAATAGATGAAATCCAACCTTCAATTACATGTTTTCATGAAGTATGACTAAACAATAAAAACAATACACTACGTGTCCAGAAAAACCCATTTCCCCTGCATCACAAAGATCATTGATGCCAAATGCTCAAAATTTAACACTAAATTATTGGCCGTTAAGTCAGTGTAACAGTGTTTTAGTTTTGTTAATAAGAGTAAAAATAAATAACAACATGGCACACACCGGTGGGAAAAATTACTAGGCCCGAAAATGTGAAATAATGTGGTTGACACATAGCACCTGAACAGTTTAAATAAAATCACCCAAACAAATAAAATAAACATGTCTTGACTTCAGGTTAACTGAAGACAGTCGAATAAATAGACAAATCTACAGATTGTCACATAAGATCAGCCAAAAAAAAAAAAAATTGAAATGTCATCTTCAAACATAAAATGACCCTGTACAATCATGATTCTAAATATTTGACAATCAGAAAAGAAGAGAAACCTTTGGACATTTAAAAGCTGAACAGTTCACAGAACATTACAGTGAATTTCCAGCTCCGTGGTTTTACCGTTGGACTGTACTACAGTGGATTTACACAGTTCTCAATTTCAAATGATCCCATTTATCTTAGACTGGACACTTGCTCAGCCCCTCAATTCATCCTGTGTCTGAATCAAACCCTCTAAATTGGCTGTCCCTGACACACACGCAGCATGTGGGTGGGGCCTCTGTGGTCACAGCCACAGCCCTGTACATAAGATGACCATATTTGGGGTATCCACCCTGATTGACATCATTCATTTAAATTTGAGGAGAACACCCCCCCCCCGCGCCCACCCAAAAAAAAAAAAAAAAAAAAGACTTGAAACTTGCCATTTAGAGCAATCTGAAGCCTGGGGTTTTGAATTACAGGGATTATTTCTATGTTGCTGATATTATGAGCATTCATCATCTGAACTGTAGACATATCACAGGGGAAACTGGAAAGCAGAAAAACAGGTTGAGCAGTAAGTGAATTACCCCACTGTGACATACATTCGTGGAAACATGAAATATGAGAGCGAATGTCAGTCAGCACTCCTGGTTTTACAGAACATTAGAAGGAGTGAGATGAAAACGTGTTCTGTAAATTTAAATGAACAGACCTTCAACTGTTGTTCAGTTCAGCTCTGTTCATAAATAAGTACACGACAGAAAGCCTCATCATTTACCTGTCTGAGTATCACAATCACATTTACATTCACAACAATGTGCAAAAAGTAGCCGTTATACTCAGATTTAATAAATAATTATGTTTTTGTGTACCATCCTTTACCCAAGTTAACAGCTTGAAAAGGTTTGTCCAAAGAGAATTAAAGTTAAAGTTCTTCAGTCCAAATGACAATTTGGTTTTCCAGTAATTTCATCATTTAAAAAAAAAAAAATTAGTTTACATGTATCATGTTGCATGAATCGAAGACAATTGTATATTAACTAAATGTTCAATATTATCCACATTTACATGGATACATCTGAAAATGCTGTTTGCACATCAAAGGTTTCCATCCAAGAAAAGCATTATAAACATATACTGCAGCATATGTTTAAAGTACTTCAGTATATTAATGGAAGTTATTGAGGAGGAAACAAAACAATTTAATTTAACAAACAAAACAAAAACCCAAGTTTGAAATCAGGCAGGTCTACACTTTTTCCTTCTGCCTAGAATTCCCTGCTGATATTTTTTAATAAAAGAAATTATTAAACAGACTTAGAACTGCAGCATTGTTACTCAAGTGTGGACTGAAGCCAAAACTGAAGACACATCTTTGTTTTCAGATGTACCCATGTTATGAAAAACATCCCTGTGTAGCTGCATCTCCACCTGAGTCTTTAACCCACTCCGTGGATTAAACCTTGTACTCAGATTACCAGTGTGCAGACAAAAAATAAAACTGAAGTGCAAAAAATCAGTACTCCGTACACTCAGTGCAGTGATGAGCTGTCAGAACAGGACTGGAAGAATATAATTACAGAATATCATCTCTAACAGGTGATTGATGTACAGTGTAAGGCTGTAACAGCACAACGCTCCCAGGACTCCAGGAAAACCTATTTTAAAGTGACCTCTGAAAGCAGCACGTCACACTTAGACGTACAAAGACGCAAAGTGAAACGGCTCACTACAAACTCTGGAGCACAAACTGGAAAAGAAATTAAATGCTACAGCAGTTTGAGGACAGGTAAAACCTACCAACTCCTCCTCGGAAAACTTTATTCACCATTAGTCACTTTAAAAACTGTGCACAGGACGACAGCATTTACACTGGAAGACTGTCTGTTTTACTTAGGATTTTAAAGTCAGGCTCAATTAAGGAGAACTCGGTGGGTACCATGTGCCCCGTTTGTTTGATTAGCATCATTAGAGTACACAAAGGCCCAGGCTTAAGCAGGGCACTTAAACAGCTGCCTTTATGAAAATTGTGTTACGCAGTTAACAAATTGTTCCAATTAAACTACAAGATGCATAAAATTATGATCCTAATGCTCCTATGGAAGAGTGCTGCCCAAAGGTGTTTGAAAGAGACAAGCAAGCATGATAGAGAAGAGTTGAGATGCTGAGACAAAGTAAAGCGCTCTCAGGGCCAGATTATTAAGCACATGTAATTAAAGGGCAGGAAAGGAGGACTACTGTACGTAGTGCAAAAGCAGCCTAAAAAAAACAAACAAACAAAAAAACAAAACCCAGACATTTCTGCAGCTGCAATGATTCAGTACCAGTGGACACCGTGTGCGTCTTTTAATCAAAACTAGAGGAGACTGGGTGATGCAATTACAAGAAGAAACGGATTCACAAAATCCAATCAGGGTTTTTTTTAGCATTTGAGAGAAAGATGGCACAGCTATGTGGATGAGTATGACCAACGTGGTGCTGGTTTATGAAATATTAGTCAAATATAACCTAAAGAGCACGGCTGCCTATAACAGTGCTGTTAAAGGATTTTGATAAATTAAGCAAAAAAAAAAAACTGAATTTGACCAGCACCCAGACACAAAATGAGGAAAGAAAATGTTTATTTTAAATAAAATTTAAACAAGCAGTTAAAAATAAATGTAAATATGTCTGGTCTGTTTTACATGGGTGGAGTTCAGAGAATGTGATTTACAAATGTGCACATGTCACCGAGTAATCTACATCAACTACAGTGACTTATTACAAAGACCAAGTGCAAGTTCGGGACGGGACGCAATTTGGCACAGGAACTGAGGTTAAAAGAGGAACGATAAGGCCTTGTATGTACAGGAACATGCCTCAGGTAAAATACATCCACCTCTGAGTGTGAATGTGTCTGTACATACATTTACACTATGTACTGATTGTTCTCTTGTTTGTGTGGCAGCAAGCTCTCTGCCCACCACCGACTACATCCTAATACTGATTCAGATGGATGTGAACAGAACTGAAAAAAATAAACAAAACAACCTTTTTGTTAAGGATTGGCTGCTGCTTTGAATCAAGTACTTCTTAATAAGAGCTGATGTGCTATTTACTCTTCACAGGCTCAGATGGTTCAGATTTCTGACTGTAAAACAACAAAACAGAACAAATGAATAACAAAAACCTTTAGATGAACAAAAAGCTCACTGGAAGAGCCATCATCTCTCTGTAACAGTGTCAACTCTGTTGTAACTTCATCTCTCTTATTACTGTGACTACCAGTAACAGTCACTTTGTCACGTGTACCACTCATTCGCACCATTCCTCTATTCAGCAGTTAAAATGAGATTTTCTGAGCAAATTTCATGCGCCATCTTTCCCCTAAAACAAAGCTTTCTACACATTCTTTTTAAAATCTAACGCCCTTTTTCCTCCGTACGTGCGTCAGCTGTGTCTAAGAATCCTGAGCAAATAATTAGAAATTTTCACTCTGTCCTCGGAAAGCCCAAGTTTAAAAATCCCGTCATGCAATCCACACTAATCTATTTCTCATCAGCTGAGAAAAACAAAACAAAACACATTGTCCTCTAAGCTTTCCCTCTTTTGCTAGAACTACGCATTTAGCTGCCTGAGGAGTGTGAAATGGTGAGCGAAATCATTAACCACAGCAGTCTTTAAAACAGAATCAGTAACAATAAAAAAACAAAAAAAACAACCTTGAAATGAAACTGGTTTTCGTTCAAAGGGAGTGTGAATATAGATTTGCCAAATCGTCTGGTGCCATGCTCATGCCCCACTTATCTCTGACACAGTCCAACCGACCCACACAGTCGCACTACCGGCTCTTGTTAAAATGGGAGCTTCTTCAGCTGCTCAAAGGTGATGAAGAACTGAGAAGTATGTTAAGGAAACAGACAGTGGATTGGCAGATACAAATACTTCAATGCATTTACCTTGCAAAAAAAGTTGGTATTCAAATTGTACCAATGAAAACACTGACAGAGAGCATCATTGCCAGCACTACGATGGTTCATGGGGTAGGCTGAACAAACTCACCAAGTCCATTACTTGATTGCCATACAAGTCAATTTAATTTGTACTGTGCAAAAGTCTCAAGCCTCCTTTAATTTCTTTATATTTTTCGTTCAAGGAGCCAGACTTTCTTTAAAAGTACAGCCAGTGGCCAGCCGTTAAAAAAAAAAAAAAAAGAAGTTATTTAGCAATACAAAACAAACAAAAAGAAACATACTTCACTCATAAATATAAACTGATTAGTGTGTAATTATGTTCTCTAAGAAATTGATGCATTCTCATAAATGCATAAAATGAATCCAATAAAAATACATAGGAGTGGGCACTGGTTTTGAACAGTGGCTGAGATGGACATCATCCTTCTGCTTAATGGTGTAATGGAATGCAAAGGTCGAGAAGAGGAGAACTCATAGGCATTTATGTGACATGGAGGCAGTGAAATTAATTAAGTTGAGGATAAAATAAGCTTTCTATACATTTGAACCTTGAATACAGGAGGAGCGATGCGGTTTTCGTCCTGGTCGTGGAGCACTGGACCAGCTCTTTATCCTCTCGAGGATACTCGAGGGCGCATGGGAGTTTGCCCAACCAGTCTACATGTGTTTTGTGGACTTGGAGAAGGCATTCGACCGTGTCCCTCGGGGGGTCCTGTGGAGGGTGCTCTGGCAGTATGGGGTGTCTGGCCCATTGCTATGGGCCATTCAGTCCTTATACGACCGTTGCAAGAGCTTGGTCCGCATAGCCGGCAATAAGTCTGACTCGTTCCTGGTGGGTGATGGGCTCCGCCAGGGCTGCCCTTTGTCACCGATTCTGTTCATAATTTTTATGGACAGAATTTCTAGGTGTAGCCAAGTGGCGGAAGGCTTTCACTTCAGTGGTCTCAGGATCTCATCTCTGCTTTTTGCAGAGGATGTGGTTCTGTTGGCTTCATCAGGTGATGGCATCCAGCTCGCCTTGTAACGGTTTGCAGCCAAGTGTGAAGTTGTGGGAATGAGAATCAGCACCTCCAAATCTGAGGCCATGGTCCTCAGCCGGAAAAGGGTGGAGTGACCACTCCGGGTCAGGGTCTCGTCCCTGACCTGGAGGGGTCTTGTTCACAAGTGACGGGAGAAGGGAGCGGGAGATCGACAGACGGATTGGTGTAGCGGTTGCAATGATGCGGACACTGTACCGGTCTGTTGTGGTGAAGAGAGAGCTGAGTGTAAAAGCGAGCCCCCGGCCTCGGGCTCGGTCACTCAGGCACAGCTGGCTGCCGGCGGAGCTCACGGGCGCGTCACTGCAACTCCCCCTGGCTTCTGCTCCGCAGCTGCTGAGTGAGCCCTCATCTGGGACTCTCCTCAGCTCTTTCTGGGACAGTGGCGCGGCTGCCCCTCTGTTGGTCTTCCTTGGTCTCTTGTGTTCTGGGGGCCTCTGGATGTCTGGAGTTTTGATCTCCTCCATACCTGCTTCATGCCCTGGAGGACGGGGCTGTGGCCCCCCCACACCCTCTAGCAGATCATTACATGAAGGAACCTTTTAAAAACAAGCGCGTCCATGCTCACAGGTGTACACACGGGTGATCACACCCACAAACTACACCCTTTTTGGCTCCTACCTCAAAGCACACTGTGTTCTGTTGATCTTATGTGCTGCACAATAATGTTTAATATTTAGTATTTACTGTCATATTCCCATATATCATTGTGATGTTGTTTATTCTATTACTCTTGTTCTCTTCTGCTTGTTTTCTTTTTTCTTTCTCAGCAGGTGATCCAGGTGATTGATATATGCATTTTTTTTTCTCTGCCCATTCTGTTGGTTTTTGTCTTTTGCCCTTCTCCCCCGTCCCTCTTCTCAGCTGTTTCTCTTTCCCTCTTTCTTTCTCCCCTTCTTTCCCCCAGTCAAGTCTGTCCCGTATTCAGCAAGTGAAAATAAAATAAACAATAAAAGGTGAATCAAATGGACCATTATGGCAAGGCTGGGATGGTCAATTTGGTAAAGTAAATCCGTTGGGCATCTTTCTTTGCCTTTAGACAATAATTCTGATGGCAAAAGAGCCAAACGGGACAGGCAAAAAAAAAAAAAAAGCGAAGCTCTCAATTTACCGGTCGATCTACGTCCCTACCCTCACCTATGGTCATGAGCTGTGGGTAGTGACCGAAAGAACGAGATCGCGGATACAAGCGGCGGAAATGGGCTTCCTCCGAAGGGTGGCTGGCCTCTCCCTTAGAGATAGGGTGAGAAGTTCGGCCATTTGGGAGGGGCTCAGAGTAGAGCCACTGCTCCTCCACATCGAAAGGAGCCAGTTGAGGTGGTTCGGGTATCTGAAAAGGATGCCTCCTGGGCGAGGTTTTCCAGGCATGTCCCACCGGGAAGAGGCCCCGGGGCAGACCCAGGTCATGCTGGAGAGATATCTCTCGGCTGGCCTGGGAACGCCTGGGTGTTCTCCCAGATAAGCTGGAGGAGGTGACTATGGAGAGGGAGGTCTGGGCTTCTCTGCTTGGGCTGCTGCCCTCACGACCCGGCCCCGGATAAGCGGAAGAAAATGGATTGATGGATGGACAAAATAAGAAGTGGCAGGCCTAAAAACTGGAAGTCATGTCCACTGGGATTTATAACTACCCTGGTATACCATAACACCATGATATAGCCCGAGTCTAATAGGGATGGCCAAATGCTAAATTTTAAAGTACTAGCAGTTTTTTTCCATATTATATATCTAGATTTACTATTTCTGATCCTATTCCAGGTCTTTTATGGAATTAATTATTTTTCTAAGAACTAGAAATGATCCAAGTTCAAGTTTTGTTTTCTTTAAAGGATACAATGATGTTCCAAGGTCCCAGTCGTAGCCAGTTAGGCCAAAATCCCTTGTAAAGAGCAAAGAAGCCTTCATTCCTCCACGTCTGCATCAGTCCATCCAATGTTCCTTTGTAAATGGGGTTTCCAGACAAAACTCGCTGGTTCATCATTCGAGTTCTGACCACATCTACAGGATTGGAGGCCAGTGCCCCCGCCAAGCCACATGCAAAACTTGAACTGCAGAAAAACACAGAATGCAGATTAACTACAGCTGTTGCCACTGCACAGCTAAAGACAGACTTTAAGAATAGTTTAAACTTACATGAAATGTGCTAAAATAGTGTCTCCCATGAGGCCGGAACGAAGGAGGTGCTTCTTTGTTATGTCATAGACAGGAAGTTCCACTCCGACAACAATAGCTGCTCGCTGTGCTGTGGGGATGACACCCTGAAGACGTGAAGGATGGAGAAAATGAATCAGACCGTAACACACTTACAGTGCAACTCAGTGAACAGAATGAAGCAAGATGGGTGCCTATTTTCCTTGGGGGCATAGAAAAGTTGCTTTTAGGCTTTGTGATAAACTGTGGATAGATTGGACCAGATTAACTTGTAAAGAAATCACGTGAAGAGCTAGACCAGACCTTACTGTAACTTATGGTCAAAAACACCTTGACCTAGCTATACAGTGAAATGCAGCACTCACTCTCCACAGCCCTCTGGTGCCCTCTGTCTGGTAGATGTTGATGAAGTTGGACATCATGCTGCCTTGGAGCAGGCTGCCCTGTGCCTGCATTCTGATCTAAAACAAATGGAAACACAAAACAGTTGCTAAACTTTTGGCTCATGGATTAGGTTTAAAAACAGAAAAAGGTTCACCTATAAAGTTACTAGTATTATGTTTCATGAGTGAGTATTTCTCAGCATATCAGTGTCACAACTGCTGTTTAATAAATAATAAAGCAGTGCTTTGATATTGACAGCACACACATTCCAATATCCTAGGGCTTACTGCCAACATTAGTAGTCACCTTGAGAACATCTGTAGGGTTGGCCAAAGAGGACGACAGGACTCCAGACACGACACCGCAGAAGACGTTGATGACCATCGTCTCATCTGTCACAAAATTACACAAATTGAGTCAAGACGGAGCCAAAACCAACCAGCAAACTAGCAAATACTAGATCATCCTATAATTAACTATGAATTGATGTCTAAAGGGTTATTTCTAGAGATAACGTAAATTTTATGAACACTTAATTCTTGCTTTGTGTATCAGTTTTGGTACACTATTGCATCTTCTCTGGGTCTAAACATCAGTGTAATTATTTAGAACAGCAACCGAGACAACTCGGCACAATTATTATTATTTCTTCTTAATGTCTGTAGATTACAGAACAAAGTGTTAATTTTGCAAGGATCCAGTTACTGTATAGTGTATACAGTTTAAAATATAAATACAATTTCTTTAATGCAAACTAACTTAAAGTGTTGACTTTTTGTGACAAAAAACCCCCCAAAAAACCCCCCCCCAAAAAAACCCCACATATTGGCATTATTTTAGGGCCTGTTTTGAAACATCTGTTGAGGAAGAAAAGTTCAATTGTTTTTGCACCTTGTACTTTCAACATCTCACATCAACGTCTGATCACAATGAGAAAAATCGACATATCAAAGAATCAACCCTTTTAAATATCTTACATCCTTAAAAAATGACAAATCAAGAGTAGAGCTCAACTGATATATCAGTCTCTCTCATTTCAGCATTAGTGTAAATGTTGATGTTGTTGTTCACACTTTTTTACATTTCTTATAATGCTGAAAATAATCCTCATGAAAATGTATAAATGGTATTATCACAGTTCAGTGTTTACAGCTGTTTCTAGACAGATTTGAGAGTTTTCTTGCAGTCCAACAGTACTAGCCATTAAAGTCTGAGCATGCGCTAAAAAAAAAAAAACTAAACCCAAAGTTGCCAAAAATAAATTTAAATTAAAAAAAGGAAATGGCCTGAAAACAACAACATAAAGCAGAATGGAGTAGGCAACGCGGCTAAGCAGACAATGCATAGTCAAGTGACACCTTAATGGCAAGTTGCTAACTAACTTGTAAGATCTTTTGCTAGTAGGTGAGAACCTACCCAACCTCTGACTATTTTTCTCTTTAAATGCATACTACAGAATATTGTGTATCAACAGTAGCAAATGATACACTGGAATGATTTGAACTCCACAGAAATCATTATTAGCCCCAAAAAGAAACATTAGCCGTTAGCCTGTCTCTTAACTAGAGCCTGTCTGAAATGAAGTTCTCTTAATTTTGAGTAAAAGCTACAAAATTAGGATAGCTATTTCTGGAAGGTGGAAAGGTTAAAAATATGCTAAAAGGCACCAAGTTGAAATTACAGATTCCTATTCAGAGCTCTTATCAAGCACACAGTACTTCACAGTCAGTTTTAAGAGAAGAGAGAAGGAGAAAATCAAAGGCTTATCTAATTTTCTCATATTTTCTATAATCTACATTGTGCATACTGGCTTAAAAACATTCAGATGGTTGATCTCATTTGTAGTAACCAAATGTGGTGTCTACACTGGATCAAGGAATAGAAATCTGACATTAGCAGTACAACAGTGTAATCGCTGTGTTGCTTATTAAGGACAGAAATGTACACATTTCCCTGTGATTTGTGGTCTCAAATAAGGTCAGTGCAAGTACAAGCTGGCAAGTGTGCTGACAAATGCCATCTAAATTCAATTTTATTATATTTTATACTGACTTTTGTTATTTAGCATCAAACCACAACTATTGCCAAGGTGGCTGGGATGGTGCCTCCCTCCCCTCCCACTTATGTCTTTGGATGACAGTTACTTAAACTAAATTAGGCAGGTGCATAAATTTGGACACCCCAACAGAAAAATTACATCAATATTTAGTAGATCCTCCTTTTACAGAAATAACACCTCCAAACACTTCTTATAGCTTCCAATGAGAGTCTGGATTCTGGTTGAAGGTATTTTGGACCTTTTGTCTTTACAAAACATCTCCAGTTCAGTCGGGTTTGATGGTTTCAGAGCATGGACAGCCCGCTTTAAGTCCCACCATAGATTTTCAATAATATTCAGGTCTGGGGACTGAGATGGCCATTCCAGAACATTGTACTTGTTCCTCCTGCATTTGTCTCCCATACAGCATCTCCTTGTGCAAAGTGCGCTGAATAGTTGAACGATGGACAGTGACACCATCTGCAGGAAGATGATGTTGTAGGTCTTTGGAGCTGGTGTGTGGGTTGACTATGACCGTTCTCACCATCCTTTCCCTCTGCTTATCTAAGATTTTCCTTGACCTGTCACTTCCAGCCTTAATTACAATTGTGGTCTTCCATTTCCTCACTATGTTCTTCACAGTGGAAACTGACAGCTGAAATCTCCGAGATAGTTTTTTGTATACGTCCCCTAAACCATGATGTTGAACAATCTCTTTGAGAGTTGTTTTGAGGCTCCCATGTAGCCACTCTCAAGAGAAGATGCAAAGAGGAGAAAAACTTGCAATTGGCCACCCTAAATACCCTTTCTCGTGACTGGATTTACCTGTGTATGTAGGTCAAGGGTCAATGAGCTTACCAAACAAATTTTATGTTTCAATAATTAGTGCTAAAGGTATTCAAATCAATCAAACAAGGGTGCCCAAATTTATGCACCTGCCTAATTTAGTTTAAGTAACTATTGCACACTTTCTGTAAATCCTATAAACTTCATTTCACTTCTCAAATATCATTGTGTTTGTCTGCTATAAGATATATTTAAATGAAATTGCTGATCCAAACAACCAATGATTTATGAAGGAAAAACGTGAAAATTATCAGGGGTGCCCAAACTTTTGCATACCACAGTATATAAAAAGGAAGCCAATTTCAGTCTCAAACAACATCACTTTCCTTTTCTGGTAAAAAAAAAAAAAAAAAATTATGCAATTTTGTGCTGTGCACACTTTATATCAAATATATGTTTGACAAATGGATAAAAGCTTATCAGAGTGTCAGTATCAAAACAGCCTCTTTCATAGTTTCCTGCCTTTTCCATCCCCACTCATCTTTCTGTCCCTTCCTTCCTTCCTTACTGGACGTACTTTGCCTGTTGTTTAGCTTGCAAATTACTGCCGGGATGGTAACTCACTCACTTCCATATGGGTCAACATAGGTGTGGTATTGTCGCTCTATTCAGAGGAAATATGTTGGAAAAAAGAAATGTCCAACTTAACCTGGGTAAAATGTTGGGACCTTAGTGTGTTTGCATTTTCCCTTACATTGTTTACTTTATCAAGGCTGATTTTGATTTTTAACAAATAAAGGACATCCGCTCAGCTAAGGTGAATGTATTTTATTCATTTCCAGGGGCAAATTATCATATAACTGCTTTACTTTCAACCATTTCCAACAAACATACAAACATCATTAACCTCTTTTCATCCACTTAATCTCAAACAAGTGACAACACAACACCCAATATTTTGCAATCCAAACAAAGAAGAAAAGATTTGCAAGGGTTTTTTTCATGTTTGATGCACAAAACTAGCATTGATTGCAAACAGAAAGATAAAGAATGAGCATGAAAAAATGAAAAGCAAGAGAAGCACGGTCATGCACAATCAATTTTTGGTTCACCTGCCATGGAGACTTTTATAGTTATGAAACTGCACCAGCCCCAGATTTTTCAAAGGCCAAGAGCATTTTAGAAGCCGAATTTTGTGTTAATTATTCCACACTACAATGTTAAATGACTCTGATATTCTGCTATTTGGTTTGCTGTCCTAGAAATATGACTTGCATAGTAATAAAAAAAAAAAAAAAAAAAAAAAAATACTGGCTTTAAGTCAAATTGAGGTAAATCAGTGCACTGCAGCTTTGGTTATGCTCCATTCCTTTTCAATGTCAGTATATCTTAATGATCAACTCAACACTTGGCAAGAAAGAAGAAATGGCTGTTGTGTCTCAGGGAGCCGTTAGAGAAGGACAGTTATTGATATTCACTCTGGACTGTTTAACTGAGCTTCAAAATTCGCCTTAAAGATCATGGCAGGCTTGTAAAGCGCTCGCTTTGTGTAGCAGAGTTTTTACCATTTAAAAAATAAATAAATAAATAAACAGCAATATTAATCTTTTCCCCTTTCTCCTGTCTAATTCCATCATGCTTCTAGTGCTAACACCACAAACCTCTGTTACATCCGTGCCCGCACCACTAAATTAGATATTGTCAGACAGTGAATACTAGCGAAGAAGACGACGACGAAGAAGAAGGATCGTCAATAATAATGATGCTGTTGCTGGGAAAAAAATGATCAAACATCTTAATGAGTGTAGTTGTAACACATTATCTTTGCCTTACTTGGTTCCCTGTTGCTGTGCATATGCAGAGCTGCCTACATTTTAACTGTGCTGATAAAGTCCAGCACAGAACCTGCGTGAGCAGAAAATAAGCAAAGGGAGTCTGTTTAAAAACAGTTTTTCTGGAGCATCTCTATTTCAACCTCATCTATGTTTGGCCTTTACCTTTGTGACAGATCCCTTTCCTCTCCTGTACTATATAAGCCAATAACATAGTATGTTTAAACCATTTGGAGTTCATTTTGTAAGCTTACTGATCCTCAAGATGCAATGCAATATTACTTCAAGTATTCCAACGGTGATTTGATTCCAGTTAGAAACACAAATCCCCTTTGGAGGGGTGTCAGAAAGGGCATCGGGCTCAAAACTCTGCCAGATCAAACCATGAGCTACTTGTTATGGTGAATCCTTGTAGAAAAGGAGCAGCCGAAATATCCATTTAGTCATCATTACTGGGTATGCTGAATGGAAGATGGTCCTTTAAAAAACAAAACAAAAAAAAACAACAACAACAAAAAAGAAAACCCTTTACAGCAGGGGTGGGTAACATAAGAAGGGGGAACTGTTGTGGAGGGCTGCACCATAAACAGAACCCAGTTCAGCTTTTTAGCCTCCACAACAATCCCAGATTTAGACTTTTTGTTTTTATTTCACTTTATTTTCAGTTAGTTTACTTGTCTGTGTTCAGTTTTTAATCATTTGAAAATGTTTAGTTTTAGTTTTCTATTGTTTCAGTGGTAGTTTTAGACTTTCTCATTAGTACAGTTTGGAGGGTGTTTAGATATTTGGAGAAATTTAGAAAAAAAAAAAAAATCACAACAGACATCACAATACAAATGCACCTCTGTGTAAAGCAGGGGTAGGCAACTCCAGGCCTCAAGGGCCAGTGCCCTGCAGGTTTTAGATATCACACTGGGTCAACACACCTGAATCACATGATTAGTTCTTACCAGGCCTCTGGAGAACTACAAGACATGGTGAGGAGTTAATTTAGCCATTTGAATCAGCTGTGTTGGATCAAGGACACATCTAAAACCTGCAGGACACCGGCCCTCAAGGACTGGAGTTGCCTATCAGTGCTGTAAAGAGATGACCAAAGTGCCACATAACTGCTTGGGTTTTCTTTTTTTATTCCCCTCCCAAAAAGTCAAAGTTCTATTTATTGCACAGCCCAGTGTCTTTATATTAACACATTAACTAAAATGCTTTACATAGTTTTTCCATTTCATATGTTAAAGGGGTCAAAGATATGACTCTGAATAGCAGCATCAGTTAACCAGCTAAAATGCAAATGTAAGAAAATGACTCTCTGTCCGTTCTGTTTTTATTATGGAAGATCCAAGACAGCTTAAAAAGCATTTGCTTACTGTAATCTCTGGTTTTGGCTGAGCCCAAACTAAAATCTTACAAATCAAATGCATGTTAAAGGACATTGTATCAGTTTACTGTGAGGACAGAATAATTGTTATTCTAAATTTTATGCCGTATTAAAACACCTACATGGTTGGCCAGTTGTCTGGTTTAGCTGATTAGAGTAAATGTGAGAATACTATCAAGTTTTCAGCTGGGTTCTGTGTAACTAACTAATGAAACCCTGTGAATTAAAGACAGTCTAAAATTTGCCTTTTAAGGAGAACTTAGTAAAAGGACACAAAAACAAAAAAAAAAAAAAGATATTAGAGTTAGAAATAGTGGTACCAACCTTCTGGCTGACTGACAAATAGCCTCTTCAGAGAATTGTAGGTTCCTATCTTGATTGTCCCGTAAGAAGCCTGTCTCAAAAGAGCCGGGGAAATTCTGTGAGGGGAAGATTTAAAAAAAAAATGTTTGATTCAAGTCAGTTCCTAAAGCGAGTATATATATCAAGAACTTACTTGCGTGGCTATGAATGCAAGTCAATACCATTTCGGCCTTAAGGATTGTGAAATTCTAGCTATTGTCTGTTACACAGAAAGTGGATTTTAGAAAGTGCTCTGAAAACACCTGAATGCTCTAAAAACAAAGAGAAGCTTGTTTTTAAATCTTTTTCAGAATGGATTGCATTACTTTCCCCACGGGGCTGTCAGCTGAATTCAGCTCAGCCGCCCGCAAAGTGTAGCAGCTCTGCGTTCAGTCTTTATTACTGCATATTGTAGAGCACATCAAGGCTCCAGACTAATGTTCAATTATTTTCCCTCCCCACATCAGTAAATGTAAAAGAGTATTCACAGTGTCTTATCATGTTCAAATAATCAGCCTTTACTTGTCATGAAGTTGTTGCTGTGGCACATTCTAAACTATTTGTTCTGATGATTGCAAACAGTTAAGAAAAACCACATGGTGAACAACCATCCAGCTTTTCTCCTTCAGAAGGTGAGTACCAAAGGGCTGAAGATGAGTGTGGCTGATAAATGAGAAGCGAATGAGTCCCACACTTTCCCACACTTTTTGCTTTTCTCAGACTGCAACATCCTCAACTTGTGTCTTATTCCACCCACGAGAAATGTGAGCAGAGGAGTGGAGGCAATATGAATTTAACAGAATGAGAACATATTTGCCTCTGCGCCTCAGTTAAAGAGGGCATGTGGTGCAGCTTCATCATAAATTGGTTTGTTACTGCCCACCTACTGATGTATGCTTCGATCTCAGATGTAACAGCGCTCATGACGTCTTACCATTTAGGACTTAGTTAAATTGAGAAGGGTGCAACATGACCAAATGTGAAATCATACACACAAGAGCAAAAAGTCTGATTAGCAGCTTCCCCTGTATGCCTGTTCTCTATGCTCTCCACACGAATTTTAAGAATTCAAACATTTTTCAGTATGGTGGAAAAAGACCGATTTCCTGGTCACTGGCAGGAGGATAGAGGACAGAAGAGACAAGGAGGAATAATTTAGAGAACTCAGAGGACTTTAGGCTTTACTTGGGCAGCCAACCCAAGTATATTATTAATTCTTCCCGCCTTGTGGTTTCCCTAACAGCTCGCCAGCTAGCTACTCTGGCAATCCATGATATTACTGACCTTCCACCAGCTCCAATCCAAGATAGTGGAGTTGGAGTTCATCCACAGGGTGAGAGACAGCTGATTGCATTGTTCAGGTATTTATGGCCACAAAGTACTTCACAAATATTTCCACTGGAGAATTTATTAACTGTGTTATTCAATAACTCATTTAAGAAAATGTGTGCAAAGAAAGGAGTCACAAATGTGAACACAGGGTTGCTTAATTATGTGTTTTTTTGGTCAGTAAGACTATAGATATTCATCACGATCACTCAAAAGGAAGGGATTTATTAAATAAGAAAAGAGTTGTTTAACTAGATTTCCTATGAACCCGGACCTCGTGCATGTGTACAAATGGCAAATAAAATATTTTATCTTCATCTTTCTTTAACTTTTATTATACCTTACCTAACAAAAGCTAAATAAACTAAACCAAACATACTGCAGCATGGCAGGGATTTTTATTAAGGGGTAAAAATCAAGGAAAGAGATGTGTTGAAGGCCAAAAGAGAAAATTATTTTAAAGTAGAAGCAGCACAAATATTGTTTAGGCTGAAATTCAAATTCATTTATTGCATAGCCCTGTGAACAGACCCCTTGCAGCTCATATAGTTATATTTTTTTGCATATCATATATTTTTACTATATTTCTCATATGCTGTCTTTATACATTTATTATTCCTTTAAATGATCACTTATTCTATTTCTCTATTTTATATGAGCATTTTTTGCATCTGTTGTGGACAGCAAAGGAAAAATTTAGTTGTACAGGGAAACATGTTGGGAAATATTTTGTTATATGCAGATATTTTGTGCATATGACAATAACACTTTGAAACTTTAATGTGAGAAACACTGACAGTGGTGAGTTTATTTTTAACCAGTGGAGTGCATTCATATTTACTGAGGTTCATATCCCGACCAACCTAAGCTGCAGACCACTCTAACCATACGTGACCCGACTCCCTTCTACCCCCCCTTCCACAAAATATCATGAAGCTAAAATAGAATACTAAACTGCTTTAACAGAGCAGCCAGCAGCAGCCTGCGTCACCCATATATGATATCAGAAGTGAGTAGCAAGTAAGACTATTTGACTGCACAATGAGAGAAAAGAAAATGAGATCTCCCTGTCTTCTAGGAACAATAATTTACCTGGGACTGTATGCACACTCCCTGGAAATAAGAGCTGGTAGGACTGAAATTCTAAGGAAATCTTTATTCAAATAACCCCCACTTAAACTTACAGCGGAGTCTTATTTCAAAGTGCATTAGCTCTCAGTAAAGCTCAAATGAAAAACACTGGCGAGGGGGGCAGTCACTTCTCTGCAGCACAAGCAATGTAGACAGGGAGATAGCAGAATTATTTATAACATTAGAGAAAATATTAAATACAAATGGACTTTCCTACATATAAGAAATGATGGAGCCAATCAATGAGGTTTTGGCATTCCACCAAAGAGATATAAACCAGATTTTTTAACATTGTTGCTACAGAGTTAAATTTATTAAGACTTTTCTGTACATCAAATGGCCCAGAAAATACAGGAAATGCTAAGACATCCGTTAGGTAAAGCAACACAGGCTCTTTGCCAGCACTGCTTATGTGCACAGTCAGCCTACAAAGGCTCAGCTGAGTCAGAAAACAAAAACGTATTAAGCAAAGACAGGAATTTTTAATCTTGATCAAGCAATAGCATTCATGTAAACTAGAGAGATGCATCACGGAAAACCTTTCTACAGTGAAACTATGACATGTTATGCAGATCAAATGAGTGGCCTAAAAGATAATATTCCATACCCAGAGTAGAGCGCCCGAATGCCCTCCTCCTTCCCGATCCTGAACAGAGCATGGAACATGCCTCTGTAGCGCACCTCTGTGTACTGAGACTGACCTTGGACCTGTAGTCTGGTCTTAGTAAGGTCAATGGGAAATGTGCCTGAGAATGAAAAATAGGGATTAAAAACACATTTTATGTGGTTTATTATTTTATTTTATTTATTTTATTATTTTAAAAAGACTCAGAATACAGAAACAAATGTATATCATGTAGCTCTATGTTCATATCATATACAGTAAACATCAAACATGTTAAAAAAGAAATCCTCTACTGAAGTCAATAGATGAGTTCTACAAGAGGAAAGATAGTGGTAGAAGCATAACTTCCAGAAAGTTTATTTTTGGCGTTTAAAAAAAAACAAACAAAAACAAACAAACAAACAAAAAAAGATTAGTCTGAAATGAACGCCTCAAAATTACATATTGATTATGACAAAACTATTATTAACAGTTACTTTAATCAGCACTCAAACCACAGATTATTCAACAGAATTAAACATTTACTTATTGTTTATATTAAAAAGAAGCATGTATTTTTTAGTTGCAGAACTTCTCATTCAGTTGCAAAAAAATAAACAAACAGGTCCATGTAAAATGGACTAACCCTGCCAGAACCGAGCAGAGAGTAAATCTGAACTTTTATGGAGACACTTGAGTGAAAGAATATGATGGGCTGAAAGCCAAAGTGTTGTTAAAATTTAAGTTTGAATGCCTCCATGGCTCTTGCTACTGGTTACTTGCTCTTAGAATGTCATTGTGTTATTAGTTTTACAACCTAATTCTAAGCAACATGTATTTAAACACAGGAAATGTATTTTTCTTCATTCTTTAAGACTCTAAATAGAGCAACAGATGAAATGTTTTAATTTTGTCTCATGTTCTCTGGGGGAAAAAAAAAATAGAATAGCCCTTTATTGTCACTGTACATGTACAATGAAATTGGAGGTGCTCCACACCAACTGTACCGGAACAAAATATATAAATAGTAGACAATAGGATTAAATAGCAAAGAGTAGCTGATGAAGAGTGATTTAAATGGGCTTTTGCATGGAGCAAAAAAATCTAAATATGATTTTGAATGTGATGATTGTGTGAGAGACACAAACTGAGGCTAAACACCAGACTTTTGTCAGCACTCAACAATCTGGACTGAACTTTGTGAATGCCACACACCTGCGATTGCAGAATGGGGAACACAATTATCACCAAATGGCTTTGACATTTTCTCTGCTACATGCACCATTTCCCTTTTTGGAGCCAGTGTTATCTGTAGTGATGCATTTTCCTACAATACTGGCGGTTAACCATTTGCATACAACGCGCTCTACTCGTGTTACATTAAAGCATATACCCCCGACTCCCAAAAATATATATACAAAAAAACCCCAAAAATACACCTGATGGTCAATGTGTGGATATTGCGGCGCACCACGTACCGAATTCTGCGACAATCGAGGCCATCCCTCCGTAGATAAACGGCTTCCAGTTCAAGTTGGCCATCTCCGTGGTGGCGGCTGCTGCTTCCACCTGCTGCAGCCCCGCTAAAAATAGAAGAAGACCACCCAGACAGAGGTCAACGCAGTGCTGCCACCTCAGACAATACAACATGTCGACAAACATTGAGGTAAAAGAGGATGCTACAGATCAACGAAGTGCCTCAGCATCAGCATCCCAGCATACTGCGCCGGAAAGAGACGCCCCGCAGTATCGAACGCGGTGAGGAGAGCCGTCATATTTGTTGTGACCCTACTATTGGCTTATAATAAAGTCAATAACATTTTCGGCGTCTTGATTGGCTGGGGTGCAAGAGGCGGGCACGGAATGCGTTACCGATAGCAACAGTGCCAAGAGAAATAAATGAAGTTATTTATTATTACTACTGGTCATAGAATCACAAAGAAGCTATTTTATTAATGAAATCTAAATCATATGATGAGATATACAGTTTTAATCATTTTATAAAATGGTCTTTTTTTTTTCTTTTTTTTTTACACAGATGATCGCCCACCTGCTTCCAGCGTTCCGCCTCGAAACAGATGGCTGCTGCTAGGCTAAATGCTACTTCTAAAAAAATACTAGCCGGTCTGTTAGCAAATTTACCAACTGGCAACCAGTTACTGTCAAACTGAACGTACCTGTGCTGTAGATAAAGTCCGCGACCTTCTATGCAGCTTGGTTTCCCATGTGTCAGAGAATAACTATGCATTGACTTTAATAAAATGCCGGCGGAAAACTTCTCACCTTTCGTTAGCTTCCCATTTACGCTAGCGCCAACTGTGGCAGAATTTGTAAAAACAGGATTTCCGTTAACACTTTCAAAATAAAACGCCTTTTGTCTAACTAAAGTAATCAAGCAATGTAATTTATGTCGTTACGGTTAAAGCAGTGTTTACACAAATAAAACATAAATAAACAAAGTAATGCTAAATGTAATTTCAGGTGGCTAAAAATGAAAACAGTGATCTTAAAATAAAGTTTCATGGAATAAACAATTTTAAACTAGTGATTTAGCTAGGCTACTGATGGTTTACTGTTGTTGCACTTATTTCTAAATGTTTATTGGGTGTTCATCTATACAAATATATAATTAACCACCACAGCTGATAGATCTTCAGGAAAGCTGAATTTGTTTTATTGGAGTTGTACTGTGGAACAGGTCTTCCCCTGAACGGTGTGAAACACGCAGTCATACAAAAGTAAGAAAAGTACATAGTTTTCTAATATCTTTTCAGGTAGCACATTAAATTAAAATCCATCCACAGCATTCAAACTGTGATATATTTAATCACACCCTAGCGTTTCCATCATCATATTTCTTTAATGAACCCTTACTCCTTTATCTTTGTGCTCTCAGTTGTATGGCAACGCATATTCGGCATTTTTTTTTCTTGCGTGTTTGCAACAGATGAGAAACTCCATTCTCAATAAAACATAAAATCGGCAACTTGAAACAACCCAAGTTTTTATTTTTTTCCGATTTCTTAATGAAATTGATTTTACATACGATGCAAAGTTTTCTTTCTTATTTTATTATGATTTCCTGTTGGATTCTTTCACACCTAACTGCTCTAATGCTAAAGTGTTTGTTTTCTTCTTCTTCTGGCTGCTCCAGAAGAAGCAGCTTGAGGTTGACATATCAGATCACCTGCCAAAAATCACCCCTGACAGTCATCTACGCCCACCTCCTCGACTCTGCCTGTGCTCTCTTCCTCACCTCTCTTGTGCATTGTCTAATGGCTGTTGGTTTGCATGGTTGACCCGTTGTATTTAAACTTACCCATGCAACCTAACTACCTTCATTACCTGCAAGTGTTACAAAATAAATTCACTCCCATTACTTTAGCATTAAAAAAAAAAGTACCCACCCCCCTCAAACTGCATCTGTTTGGTGCTTTAAGCACCTGAGAGTTGCTCATCAGGTAGCTGCACAGCATGAAAACATACTTCCATCAGGGACACAAATAAAAATGCTGTGCACAAATGACATTACCTTTCAAAATATGACACCTGAAATTTTTCATATGATGAAATGTTGAGCTACAGTTTCACTTATGTAATAGGAGTAAAGGGCATAAGGGCAACATGGTTCAGCTAACATGTCTAAGGCTTATGTTTCTTGTACAACCGTGGCACATATTTGCAATGAATGAGCAAAGTGTTACTGCAGTGTTTAAGCTTTAGTAGTTAGTCCAGGTTGCATTCAATGGGTTTTGATTATGATCTACTGTCTTGTTTTTATCATTCTCTTTCCTTTTCAGGAGCATCATGCTCCTCTGTTTCTTGTGGATTTTCCTGCATTTTGAACCTGTGAAGACAGCACTTACATCACAGGATACAGTAGAAACAGAACACAAAAACAGCTCTTTGGTAGTTATTAGCAGAGGGAAGAAAGTTTGCGCTTGCATTTCAAACATTACAACTCACAGAGCCTCCCGGAATTTAAATCAGCAAATTTTCGGCTACCCAGCTTTTTTTATGTAAATAAAAAAAACTGCAGTAAACCCCTTAAACGCTTTTAAAAGAGGACTGCTGGTGTCCTTTCCACATCACTCACATGTCAAACAGCAAATATCCACAATGCTAAACTTCATCAGTAGAAAAATAGACATTGGCTAGGTATTCTTCTCCTCTACATTTAAAATATAGTTGGAAAATATCAATAATAAACAAAAACGGGCAGTTGGGAAACTGAGTGGATGGAAACTCTGCAGTCCGAAAGTTTAGGGATGCATTTCCTCTGTTTCTTCTTCTAGAGGGCATTCTTGATGAAATCCAGCCTTACTTGTTCAGGCACAGGAAGTGGTGTGGAATCACAGAGTGGTGCGCAGCAGCCGAATGGCTCGCTGGTAAAGCTGTTGGACAACTGACACCAGATTCCTAAAGGAGAAAAGACTGAGTTTGAAAAAAAAAAAAAACAGGATGGAGAGAGAATCGCTCCAAAATTTAGTCTAGATTCACTTCTTTAACACTACGTCGTACATACTGGTGACCTGTGCTGCTCTTTCAGATCTACCATCTGAACATCTGTGTGATTTTTAAATAGATATACAAATTGTCATGACCAGTGACCACTGATCAGTAGTCACGAGTACCATTCACAGAGAGTTGGCTGCAATCACACCATTGTAGGATGGTGAAAGATGTACCCTTTGGCCCCCTCCTCGATTCAGAGATGGTCTTTCCCTTTTCACGTAAATGGCCTCCTTGACTCCGCTCAAACCAGCGTTCCTCCCTGTCCAGGATGTGTACATCCTCACCACTGAAAGAGTGTCCACTGCCCTGTAGATGTAAATAGACTGCAGAGTCCTGGCCTGACGAGGTAGCTCTTCTGTGTTCTGCTATCCGCTTAGCCAGAGGTTGTTTGGTTTCCTCGATGTATAAAACACGGTTTACAATTTGCATATTAATTATCATGACACTGACCTCACAGTGCATTGCTAGTCAGTGGGCTGGTTTCAGTCATTATGCAAATAAGGTTGGAAACCTGCAGTCAGCAGAGACTGAAGAAGTCACTTGGATGAGTGACGAAACGTTTTCCTACTGAAACCGTCCAGATCAACAGAATCAACCTTTTGTGATTTCCTTACCTGGATGATTGAGCATAGTTGTTAACAAAATTCTAACGATACCATCTGAATGTCACAGATATTTAGACTCATCAGACCAGGCAACATTTTTCATCTTCTGCTGCTTCAAGATTCAAAGTGTTGTGCCTTTCGGGATGCTTTACAAACCTTTGTTGTGATGAGTAGTTATTCACGTTACTGTTGCCTCCCAATCAGCTTGTAGCAGTCTGGCCTTTTCCTCTAATGTCTGATATCAACAAGGCATTTACCCCTGCTTTTTCAGACCATTCTCTGTAAAGTCTAGACACGGTTTTGAGTTAAAATCCCAGTGGATCAGTAGTTTCTGAAATAGTCTGACAGCAGCAACCATATCATTCACCTTCAGAGTGACTTAAATCACCTTTTGTCTCCATTTTACTGTGCGCAGAATGCTGCTACTATGTGATTGGGCGATCACATATTTGCAGTGATGAGCAGTGAGTAAACAGTGAGTGTATGTTTTATGGATACTCACTGATGCAATCCTGCGGACCACCAAGCGTCTTTGTCTTTCCTTTGCCTTATTCCCCCCCTTCCTCTAGCAGTCCAGCATGAAGGCAGTTTATAGCTTAAGCAACTATTTTATTCAGACCCACAGTGGAGTGAAGATTACTTATTTACTTTTTTGTGTGTTTCTTTAGAGATTAGTCTGGATTAGAAACTGAGCCTACAGCTTAGCTGCTTCTAGCACAGGCTATAAAGGGTGAATCAAAGATTAAGCAAAATCCTTTGACATAATGATTAATATGTAAAGCTTGAACCTTAATTGCATTCCTCTTCCTCATTTCCTGTCATTTAGCTACTGTCTGGTTGTTGTAAAGCCATAAACATGATTAAAAACAGTGTTTAAAAATATACATATGAGGTTACTCCGCTGTTTTTCATCTATATCAGGGGTCAGCAACCTTTAACACCCAAAGAGCCATTTGGACCCGATTTCCACGCAAAAGAAAACACTGGGAGCCGCAAATACTTTTTGACATCTAAAATGAAGATAACACTGTATATATTGTTTTTTTACCTTTATGCTTTGTGTAAACAATTAAGGTGTGTTGCTTAAATCCATGAAGTACAGAGAAAATTACATTTTATTTATGTAATTAACACATTTTGAACTCTTAAAGAAATCTAACAAAAGGAAAGACACCCAGCTGAACTAAAATGATCCATGTAGGAAACAAAAACTGTTGTGAGCCGCCACCCTTATATCGCCTTTGGGCTTTTGGAGCCTTGACTTGACTTTTAAAAAAATGATTGGGAATAATTAGCACAGACGTTAAGGCGCCTTGTCGCCTTAACGTCTGTGTTATCTATGCTGTTGTGTTGGTATGTATTGGGCTGTGCGCTTTAACACCGGCTGTATATATACCGGCTGTAAATATGCTCTCTCTGTATAGAGAGAGCATATTTCTCCTGTTTTGGCTTCCCTTCATTGGCTTCCTGTTAAATCCAGAATTGAATTCAAAATCCTGCTCCTCACATACAAGGTCTTAAATAATCAGGCCCCATCTTATCTTAATGACCTTGTAGTACCATATCACCCTATTAGAGCACTTCGCTCTCGCTCTGCAGGCCTACTTGTTGTTCCTAGAGTATTTAAAAGTAGAATGGGAGGCAGAGCCTTCAGTTTTCAGGCCCCTCTTCTGTGGAACCAGCTTCAGTTTGGATTCGGGAGACAGACACTATCTCTACTTTCAAGATTAGGCTTAAAACTTTCCTTTTTGCTAAAGCATATAGTTAGGGCTGGACCAGGTGACCCTGAATCCTCCCTTAGTTATGCTGCAATAGACGTAGGCTGGGGGATTCCCATGATGCATTGAGTTTTTCCTTTCCAGTCACCTTTCTCACTCACTATGTGATTAAAGACCTCTCTGCATTGAATCATATCTGTTATTAACCTCTGTCTCTCTTCCACAGCATGTCTTTATCCTGTCTTCCTTCTCTCACCCCAACCGGTCGCAGCAGATGGCCGCCCCTCCCTGAGCCTGGTTCTGCCGGAGGTTTCTTCCTGTTAAAAGGGAGTTTTTCCTTCCCACTGTCGCCAAAGTGCTTGCTCATAGGGGGTCATATGATTGTTGGGTTTTTCTCTGTATCTATGAAGCGCCTTGAGGCGACTTTTGTTGTGATTTGGCGCTATATAAATAAAATTGAATTGAATAAGCTACAGCCGGCTGTGTGCGTACAGCAACCGTGTGTGAAAAGTGGTCAATAAAGAGATGCTGAAAAGCATGTTCATGCAAACATCGTCGGGTCTGCCGTGGTATGTTTACAATGGGACTTCTGCTCCTGAACCTCTGCGCACAGCGTCTGCAAATCGGGGCTGTACGAAGTCACTTTCATCTTTACGCAGGACTGTAAGCTGTCGTCTGTGAGGCGTGAGCGGTGTTTGTTTTTTTAACATAGTTCACGGTGGAGAACAGCTGCTGACATAATGTGGATCCGAAGATCCATAACTGGCCTACCTGGGGTTGAAAGTCTCGATAAATGCACGGCGTTTCGGTGGGTATATCGGCTTCCGCAAGTGTGACGCTTATTTTGAGCGGTCAAAAAAAATAATAGAATATAATTTTATATTTATATTTCAATATCACAATAATCTTCCAATTTAGAAGTACAAGTTAAAAAAGTATTAACATAAATAAAATACACTTCGGCTACTTACTTAAAAAAAAATAATTTATTTTCCCAAACCACGCAGAGCCGCACTAAAAGGACTAAAGAGCTGCATGCGGCTCCAGAGCCACAGGTTGCCGACCCCTGATCTATATGAAAACGCAGTCTTACCGAGCTCCGGCAGAGAAGCAGTTGTTGCGGTTTGGATGGAGGCAGAAGAGCGAGGCCACGCAGTAAACACAGCACAACAACATGGACAGCAGGCGCCTCTTTAAAGACATCTTCAGTCTGGCAAAACACAGAAGCAACAGGTAACACTTGAAAACTTGGCATTCTCCTCCAATATGCTGTTTACACACGGGGTTAAAAATTGCAACAAAAAAAGTAACATTATTATTATTATTACATTATAAAGTGTTTCTTCTTTAGAGACTAAGCTTGTAAAACCTGTTCAAATATCTAATCTTGAATGCTACATTCTATAATTCATTCACATATTAAATGATGGAGGGAGTGTGAAAAAATATATGTGACAAATGTTATATCATGAGCTGAATGCAGGAATTCAAAGTCTACTGAAGGTCACACTGTTGTGTATTAGCCCAAAATCCCCTGTCCTCCGTCATCCTGACAGCATCACTTACACAACACCATCCTAACCTTAAGAGTTGTTCTCAGAAGAAATCTTTACTGACAGACTGATATTCCAAAATTTAGAAAATCCTTGCTTTGGTTGAAAACAAAAAAAACTCTGAAACTCCTTCAAATCAAACCCCAGATGGAGAAAATCCCTCGCTGTGACTGTAGGAGTATAAACACAATCAGAGCTCCCTGGGCGGGAGGGCTGCTGGGCACTGGGCACAATTACTGCTGACCCACGCTTTGTTTTGAACGGTCCTGAAAGGTCTAGCAGGAGTGAATAACATTCTCACATTGTGTGTGTGTTGGAGCTATTTTAGAGTGTTGAGAGGGAGGGTTGCATGTGATAAAAGAGAGATTCTTTCCCCTCAGGTTGCTGTGGACTAAGCTAGTTGAACCTGTGTCCTGCTGGTGTGGGCTCACAGACGAGGTGTGACAGCAATCAGGCTGGACTGACATATTCAAATCAGGTTTTGCAGAGTACATATAAATAGTTTTACAGGACTCCTGTCCTGATCCCTCTGTTAGCTTCATTTGTCATGTATAACATGAGACTGTTCACACTGGACATATGGAAGTTGTAAGATGATGATTTTAGAATCACTGATTTGTCGGCCTTGGAAGTATCAACAGAGGCTTTTGAGGATAACAAAACAGTATAGACCCAGTGATTGTGTCACATTAGGAACTCTGCACTGCTATTGGTTCTCTGTTCTGATCCTGCAGGAGGTTTGCAACTGTGTCTACAGGCTCTTATGTCTGTCACATGTACTTAGTGTAAATATGCGCTCATCTGTGAAGAGAACAAGGTGCCAGTGGCACACCTGCCAGTTCTGGTGTTCTCTGGTTGATGCCAGACAAGCTGCTCACAGACCAGTATGATGCAAAGGTCCCGCTAAAGGATGCTGGGACCACAAGCCAAGCTTATGCAGTTAGTTTCCTACAGTTTGGTTAGAAACATTCCCATGAGTAGCCCACTGCCGGTCATTTTGTAGGCCTCTGACAGTGTGCCTATGTTCTTCCTTGCACATAAGAGCAGATATGGGTCTAGGCCTAGCCTTGTTGCCTTGTGTATTTATTGTTTGAGTCTCCCCTTTCTCTTTGTTTTTACTGTGTATGCCCTTGTTTTCTCTTCCTTGATCCCACAATTTAATTCTTTCTTGCCCCATTCCCATCTTTTTCTTAGACTTTGTTTATTTTCTCTTTTGTCATCAATAACGTGCCTTTTTTCATTAAAACTGTCTGAAACTCATTGCCTGCTATACAATGACGAGGCCACTAGCAAAAAGCAAAATTAGAAAGAAAAAAAAAATCACTAGGAATAAGAAAAGAGCAATGGTCTTTGGTCACTGCTTGTGAAACCATTCCCCCTTTTGGGGGTTGGCTTCTTGTTGCTTCTGTGGCACACCTGTCATTAATTTCATTTACATTAAAAGCAGGTGAAGTGGATTCATACTGGTTTATGCTCCCTAGCTGGACAGATCCCTTTATCCCTGAAGCTTAACCAAACATTAATTTTCATCTTCCTGGATATGAATGTCAGCATGCAAATGTAACATGCAATAGATAAAACAGGAGCTTCAATAAAGAGGCCACAACAGATTGTAGGTTAACTGATTATAATTAATAAAATGTATATTAAACACTTAACTTTAAAACAGTAAGAGAAATGTTTCTTATTTCTTAATAGTTATCAAAGTCCTTTGTTTTCCAGCCCTCCAATAAACCAAACTAATAATCTGCAGAATGAAACCCAGCAGCAGTCTTCACACCTGCTGGCAATCAACCTACTTCTCAGTTTGTGCCTCTTATCTGATTGGCTGTTGCCTCCTGTCCGGTTCCCAGTTTTCCCAAGTCACAGCAACATTTTCCTGTTAGCAGAAAACACAGGGTACTCGTCAGTATAAAAGGAATTTGCTTAGTTTTGCAAAAACCATAAACAAAATCTGACTTAAAAAGTCTTTGGTGCTAAAGTTGTAAAAAATTGCAAGAAAAAGTAATAAAAATAGTTTGAGGTGTTACAAGACAGGCTGAATGTAAAACTCTGTACTAAAAATTTCATTGCAATCTATCCAACAGTCACCTTGTTGTAGTCTAGACCGAAGGGGTGGATGGATCAGTTGATGTAAATATTTCATTGCATGCACGGTACCCCCCCTTCATCCCACACCCCAAAAACATGCATGGCCCTTGGTGGACAAACAAAGAAGCAAATACTTGCATACTAGCAAATACTGCACAGTTGTGAAAAATAAACTATGGAGTCACTTTTTTTATTTTGATGTTTTCCCTCTCGAAAAAACTCTGTTGAGTAAGGTAAAAGCTCAAGTGGGGTGCTGTTTCTGGTGGCTGATAATATGTCAGTAATTGTTTTTTTGTTTTGGGTTTTTTTGCGTAAGGAGACAAGATTTATTCCATCCATATATTCTGGCACTGTCAGGGTTGGTTGAAGGAGGACTCAAATGCATGACTTTCTGAATGGAAAAATCGTGTTTACCATGAAAAGAAACTATGAAACAGTGCTAATAATCCACAGTGCATGCGTTCCTAATCTGGATGCCATGATTCTTCTCCTTGATACGTGGTGATGCTTTGTCCTCCTTGGTGCCTATGTACAACAGTGTGCTGCTCCCACCACACATTTCCGCAATCTACCTAGAAACAAGAGATGCCGCAGTGAGTACAGTCCCATCCACCGGCTGACAAAAAACACTCTAACCATTCCAACAGGAGATGAAAACACAGTGATATGAGTTTGAGAACTAACTGCATAACAATCCCAACTGCCACTCCACTGTTCTCTTAAGTAGGCCTCCTTGATTAGGCAGATCGTCAACAGGTGAGTGATTAATCCCAGGTGTGGCTGGCTCAAAGGCAGGAAACTCTACAGGCCTGGCGTTGCAGCAAAACTAACACACCACAACACACACACACAAACGTGTACACAGGGAAATGAGGGACCAGGAGCATATCACACCAACAAACACATGAACCTGACACATGACCAAAAATGACACATGAGCCCCTGACACACACGGAGATGCAGAGGCACATTGGCGACATAGATTATCCACTTCATTCCAATCAAGAAAACACTGATGCCCATCTTCTTTTTGTTTTTCAAGAACCTTTCAAATTTATTCTCTTCTATTAGGTAATAATATGTTCTGCATATTCGCTGAGACAGAGCGAAACGTAAAGCACAAGCAATGTATGAACAAAAGTGAGTGAATGCAGCTTAGTAAGGCATTTATGGAGACAGATAGGGGAGAAGAAGAAGAGGTAAAACCTGAACGTAACATGGAACAGGCTGTGCTAGTTTATCATCATGACACTGTGACTTGTCTAGTTTTTTGTTAAACATTATTTGTTTCTCAATAGTTTGAGTAATTCCTCTTAGGTTTGACCTCACAGGGAAAACAGAAAATGTATGTATAAATCTATGACTCTTTGAATCTTGGGAACAAAAGTACCATAAGATCACCCCATAAGGAGGAGATTGGGCTGAATGAATGTGAAAATAAATTTGCCTAACTTAACATTTAAGTTGCACTAATACATTTTCAATAAACAAAATGACTAATGAATGTAATTTGGACATATCATTGTACACTAAACCTTTCTATCCAGTCTTTCTATATATCTAAAAGCTCCTGCAAATTCTGATGCTAACTGCAAGTCTGCAGCTGAGTCACTTACACCTCTCGTCTCCAGAACTTTTAATGCGTACAGTGCCTGCTTTCAAAATCACTGCAATGTGAAAAATGAAGCATTATTTAATGAAAACTCTCATCAGCACATCTGAAAATATAGACTTATAATATATACTATATATATATAACTATTATATATATATATATATATATATATTATATATATTATATATATATATATATATATTAATGTATTCATATATGTGGTTACACTGAACTCAGCTGCAAACTTAAAAGTGATAACTTCTACACTTCTACACTCAAAAATATGATTCTGCACTCTCAATAAACATGCAGCAATAACTTTGATTAAACACAGCTGAAATATATAAAATCTAACGTTAATATATTTAAAAAATAATAATAATCATTAAGGAAATGTGCCTTTTTGGCAGTACTTTATTAAAAACATGAAGCCTGTTACACATTAAGCATGGGTAACAGGTAAACAGACTATGAAGCTAATCATTACCATATTTTGATAAGATTTGATCGCATTATAGTGATATTTTTCTTCAGCTGGATATAGCTGCCATTTGCAGGTTTTAGAAGCTGGTGTGATGCCAGGTACTGTTTGAAGTGTGTGCAGAGAGAAAGCATCATTAGTCTGATCTATTTGTGTGTGAATCCTAGTGGAAAATTGTCCCATCAAGCCAGATGTCTCTCCTGGGGACTCTGGAGCCAAAATAGGATGCTAGCCAGCAGGGTTGGAGTTCAACTAAGCCCATTCAGCACTGCACATTAGCTGCTTCTGCTTTTAATGTTACCGCGTCACAGGTAATGATCAACAGAAAGAACAACAGCTTAATTCTTAACACAAAAGTCTGAAAATGTGTCTCTTTTCAGCTCCGCTGTCACACGTCCCCGTGTTATTGCACTTCTGGACACTCAAACAATAAACCTGCAGTCCACAGGGCAAAATTTGCTTGGATACATGTGGTGATAATATGCTATCACAGTACTCTGAAAGGTAATATAATGTATGCTGCTGGCTTTTTTATGGAGGAGCAAACTGGATGAATCAACATAATCCAAACCATTGTTTTGCTTACATTTTAACTGAAAAGTAAATATCTACTTTATGTGGTTTGTTTTGTTTTATTAATATTGCTCACAGTTAATTTCCACATGTGCATCCTTTTACTCTCTGTAACACTATCACCAAAAGGGAAAAACACCCCAGGTGCTCAGCAAAACAACACATTCATTTATTAAAATAGGAAAGATATTTACCATTTTATGTGGTAGAAAGTTTCATTATAAATATGTTAGGAATATTAGCATTTTTACATACCTGTGATATCTATAGCTACAGTTAAATTGTTCAAATTTATGGGAACTTTTAAGGGTCTGTTTTAGGTGGAAGCTCGTTTCCTCTGCCAAAAAAACCCCAACCTTGTTTTTGTTTTTTGCACCTCATTTTTTCCCCTCAATATTGTCAAAATTACCTACACTGATTTACAGATGTTAAGCCCAAAATTTGTCTGGTAGATGCCCCAATAAATGTTTTCTTTTCCACCCATGAAAAGTTTCCATACTTTAAGATTTTGTTTCTGAAAAAGCGCTGTAGTAAAATAATAGTTATTTGATGTAACTCCAGTTCCGGCATGTGCTACAAAATGTAGCTGTTTGCTGTCACCAGAGGGCAGTGCCAAAAATATGTGCAACAACCAGTAATGTGTGTTCCTCTTGTTCATGTTTGGAAGTCATAGGCAGAGAACATCTGTATGAAACCAAGTCTTAGAAACTCTCTGCTTTTGGCAAGTGATTGAGCATTTAATTTAATTCCATTAATGTTTGTCCGGCTACAGGCCGTTGTATTAGTTATTTAGGTTGGCACCAAGTCTGGCTCCACTCCTCCAATAACCACAAGTAATAGTGAGCAATAGTACTAATACCCGAGCCAACAAATTTACAGAAGTACAGAAGTTTTAAACCTTAGCTTAGCTTTGACAAATGTGCTTCACAAGTAGCGATAAGGTGGGAAAGCACAGTTACTAGGATGTGTGTTTTTCCTTTAGTTGTTTTTTGCTATAAATAGTGATATATATAGTTTAAAGTTGAGTTAAAAGACTGTATTACACAGCCTCTTCTTACATGTTTCTCACAGTCGCAGAACTAAAAAGCTAAATCTTATTTGGTGGTTTACTATTATTAGTTACTCACCCACTGTAAATGATTTATGTCTTCCCTAAAAGGAAGCTTTAGTGCTAACCTGCCCTAGTTAAAAAAACAACCCTCTCGATTAAAGATGATAAATACAATAAAGTGATTATGAAAGTAGGAATCTTCCGGCATGGAAGAGAGAGAATGAGAGAAGAGGGGAAAGCTGGGACAAGGTTCAACCACAAAGAGGCAACAGCAGCAGCGGATGAGCAGTGAAGGGGATATATGTGCTCTCTACGATGGTGTGTGTGTGTGTCTGCAGACTGTGTGTGAGAGGGGAGGGGATAAGAGAGACCTGCTGATATTGTTGCATTTCTGTCCTCCTTCCATTAGTTGAAGGGATTTTAAGGATACAGCCGAGTTTGCCGAGATCCAATGGATGCTTTTCAGAACAAGCTAACTCTCTTAAAGTTCTTTACTGCAAGCTAGATTCATTTAATGGGGAATTGTTGAGAAGATTCTTCTGTTTGCGGTGATTGAACGCACGCTTCTTCAGTTTAGTCACATTTTTAGCCACTGGACTGAGTACTGTGATATCTGATGTTTCATTTGGTACGTTAAACAGCCTAAAAAAAAGTTCAAAACTTGTTTTTAAGGATCTTTGCGAATTTTTTTTTTTTTTTGCTAGATTCACGTTTTGTGTTTTGACGTACAATGACTGTAAGAGTTAAATCTCTGATTGTGATCACAACAATATTGGCCCATTGCAGCTATACACTGGCTTTGTGAATTTAACCGGACAAGCATACGTCTTAGCGCCTTTTAGGATGACTCCTGACAACATAGGCTCCAACCAACCCACAGTGACCTCCTTTGGCCACTCCCCTTGGGTGATGGGTATGATGCTCAGCGTCGCCTCTTCCCTCATCATCTCCACAAACCTGCTCGTGGCAGCTGCTTTACTTAAGCTACTCCTCAAGAAGTGTAGCCAGAGCTGGTGCTTTGTCCTCAACTTGGCACTCGCTGACAGTCTGGTTGGCGTAGCCATCACTGGCCTGGCCACAGAAGACCTCAGCAGGAATGTCAGTCTCGCTGATCGTCCCTCAAACACTACGCCTTCCACTGGCCAGGACAAGACCCGCTGCCTGCTGCGAATGGCATTTGTGATATCACCCTGCATAGCATCCATCATGTCCATGTTTCTCATCTCACTGGACCGCTATGCTGCCATCAAGATACCCCTGCGATACTCGCTGCTGTCTGGGAAGGGGACGGCAGCTGGAGCCTTGCTGGTTCTGTGGATCATTTCACTCACCATGGGATTCATGCCAGGTGAGAAACAGAAATGATCAATCAGTGTGTTGAAATATGCAGAGGACTGTGCTTTTATGTAATCTAAAGGCATATGTAAGAAGGGGCTATACAAGGTTTAGACTCTGGATTTGACCTAAGAGTTCAAATGCTCCTCTTTGAAATTTCTACCTGGAAAAGATTTAGTCACTGCTCCAAAACTGTAAGTTCAAATTATATACCACTGGGCTTTACGGATGAGAAACACAAATCTCATTTTACTTTGTATTCACCTCGAGAGTCCTCGAGGAAGGCTTTTTCAGGATGTTGCAGATCACATTGAGATTGCCTGTGTGTACTTTTGAGTGTGGCTTCCTTTTGACCGATAAGTTTCTATCATATGAGTATTCAGGGTGTTTTACTCCCGTAATGAGAGGCCTACAAGCATGCACGGTAAAATTTGAACAGCTGCAGTCCAGTGAGACAGATCATGTAACTCCATTGTTTCATTCCTCTCCAATGGCAAATCTAATAAGTGGCCTCTTGCAAGTGTTCCATTCATCTAAACTGCAAAAGCAACAAAAACTGATGTCACTGCTTAATATGAAACTCTCAGTCCAAGCTTTTGTTTCTGCATGTTCTCCTCGTGTCTTCTTCTTCTTCGGGCCTTTATGGTCGCCACAGTGGATCATCTCTCTGAATGTCCTCCATCACTACATCCATGAGCCTCCTCTGTAGCCTCCTCCTCCTTTCCTCCTGCACCACTGACCTTTCCTTACCACCTTCTCTTCCCAGAATTTCTCCTTAGCAGTCCTTTGCACTTCCTGATTCATTAACTCCTCCATCCATCATCCACTCTTTCATTCATCAGAAACGAGCCTTCTATTTTCTCAACACACTCTCTTTACTTGTTAGCAAGTTTATCTCTATTCTTAACCACATTAACCTGTTACACGTCCTTTGCAGCTTGATGAATCTCTCCAGAGAATCAATGGAAGCCATTTTTTTCCTTCCTTGAGGTCAAGTCTCAACTCATTTAAGCCTTTTACTTTCTTTTTTCCACCACTCTCTTTGCTTCTAATTCACCTGGTCTCCTGCACACACAACAGCACCAGAGGCAGTTATTAATCCAAGTCCTGACCGATTTGTGGAAATCTTATTCTGAATGATTTGCATGCTTGATTTGACCAAGATCTTATGCCCGATGCTCTTCCTGACACAACCCTCCACATTTACCCTGGCATGGGATCGGCACTGGGATTACACTGGCTTGTGACCTGGTTGTTTGTTCTCCTGGTGCGGTGCTAAGTACCTAATTTTTTAGTATGAGCCCTTAAATACTGTTTTTTTACCCATCTTTTAACACTGCTAGTGTTGTTTTGAACAGATAGCTTAAGGAATACCAATTAGATGAATGCCTAATTAAGGCCCTGGCTGGTGCGGACCTGCATGTAAGGGTTTGTACTGGCCAGATCAATCAACCTGATGCAAATACACAAAGTTAATGTGATGCAAAACCCTACCAAAGGCTTTTACATTCTATTGCATTACATTCAGCCGGCCTACGTTTGGAGGTAATGCACCAAGAAATGCAATTATGTGCTGTTAAAGGGAGAAAAAAAAGACTCAACAAATGTAGGCAATGCAGGGTTGAAGTATTTTTATAGAGGATACTTTTTCATAGAAAAAGTGCAGACTCATTGTACTGCACATATATTTTTCCCTTCAAAACAGTCACTATTTTCTTGGAGCCAGTGTAGTGTTGTCTCCAGGGTCAAGATACGCTGCAATACTATAAAAAGAAAGGAAATGAGTTATTACAGTCACCTTGTTATTTCTAAAATGTATGAAGTTTTTGCATTGTTTGATTTGTAATCTGAGCATATCAATATATAAAGAATATATTAAAAAAACACCTCATGTCCTCTTGTCCTCAGTTATGGTGCGGCAGCTGCAGGTGGAATCAAGCTATGATGGCTTCTGTGCCTTCTTCTCTGTGATTCACAATGTGGCCATCGTCATTTTCCTCAGCGTCGTCTTTTTCCCAGTGCTCGCCATCTTCATCTACATCTACCTGGATATCCTGAAGATCGCCAGCAACCACCAGAAGCAGATCTGCCGTGTCAGGCAAGCAAGCTCCTGGAACGGTGACCACCACAGGCAACACAGCCAGCATCAGCCTCACCATTCATATCTGAGGATCAGTTACTGGAGTCACGTCAAGGCCCTGAGGACGGTGGCGGTGCTCGTGGGCTGCTTCTTAGTCCTCTGGTGCCCCTTCTTTGTGGTGTCCATAGTGCACATTCTTTGTAAAAGCTGTGCTCTCAAAGCTGTGATTGAGAATCATATATGGCTGCTGGGACTCTCCAACTCACTAATCAACCCTATAGTGTATGCCATTTGGCAAAGGGAAGTGCGGCTGCAGTTGGTAGCCATGTTTTCCTGCATTGCAGGCAGCTCATTGGCAGCCAGAGCAACTGTCACAGAGAGAGGCGACCCACAACCAAATGTGCAGACTCAAGCCTCTGCTTCTAGAAGGGACACACTAAACCCTGCACTCTTGCAACCAATCACCAATGATGAAGCTCATGCAGGACCACAAACGGCCACAACAAGTCTGTGAAATAAACTGGGAAACTCGAGATATAGTACAAAAACACATGTGAATGATTCTCTGAGGGATAACGCATTGATTAATAGGCTTTGTAACCCCTGAAGTACATTATTATTATTATTATTATTATTATCACTAAATATGATGCTTTTTTTAAGTACCATATTTGCACCTCAGGCTTCAATGTGATTTCACCCAATTCCTTCAAGCCTGACTACAAACAGGCCACGGAGCTAATAAAGTTCAAGTCAAAACTTTTGCTTTCTTTGTTTGTCTAATTTAATTATTTGAATTATGCTATAGTTCTGATGCATATTTGATCTGCTTAATCTGTATAATATTTTGGCAGGGAAAAAAATAACAAATATCATCTGACAGTCAAGGGGAAATCAGGTTTATTATGTCATCTGTTTTAGCCATATATTTATTAGTTATGATAAATTATGAAAAACCAGGGTAATTCCTGAAATATTTAGGAGTGAGGCCAGTACTTCTCTTTGGTACTCCCTGTGCTGAATGACTGTAGGAGGGAGAAATGTGAGCACAACAACATTTATGTATAACTTGGATATTTATTCCGTTGCTCCATGTGAAACGAGGGGTCAGAGGTCAGTGATAGCAGGGGGCAGGAAGTTCAGTGCTTCAGTTCACAGACTTTGACGTGCACTCCTGATAAGTCTGGAGGGGTTCAGACCAGTCCCAAGATTAGAATGACTAGAATTACCGAATATTTACGCCCTTTATGCCCACTTACTGCAAGCCTGATATTCCACAGAGACTCACAGAGGACATTGTCTGTGTACAGCCTGGGGAAATCCCACAAGGACATGGGATGAGAAGCCTGTTAGAAAGTCAGTATACAAGTCTCTGGAATCTCCTGGCTCTCTATAAATGACTTTGATGTCACACCGTGGTTTGTGGAGCCATGTTTTTACTTTGATCATTTCTGCCAACATCCATGTCAGTTTCTTTAGCCAGAAGTGTTCATATTTAGATGACGGGGTGGAGTGCTAAGTTATCAGACTAACTGATAATTTGTCAAAATGCTGATAAAATACTGGAATTTCACTCACAAACTCTGGAGCACATCACAGTGGTCTGGTTAGGTCCTGGGTTCAAATCCACCATGTAGCTGGGGCCAATCTGTTTCGAGTTTGCATGCTTTCCTGTGCCTTAATAAGCTTCTTGAATTGGATGGGCAAAAGAAGGTGGATGGATGGTAAATGGCCTGTATTTGTATAGCGCTTTTCTAGTCCCTAAGGACCCCAAAGCGCTTTACACAACCTGTCATCCACCCATTCACACACACATTCACAAAGCTACATTGTAGCCACAGCCACCCTGGGGCGCACTGACAGAGGCGAAATGGATGGAACTGCAGCACAGAAAACTACAGAGCAGACCTTAGTATTACACAAACAGTTGTCCCACAGGTAGGTCCTGGCAGGAGGGACAGGTGTGCAGTAGCTAGCACTACCACCTCACAGCAAGAAGGTCCTGTTCTCCCTATATCGGTGTGGGTTCTTGTGGTGTACTCAGGCTTCCTTCCATCAACTGGCCCTTGATGTAAATGTGATTATGAATGGTTGTATGTCTCTGTTAGTTGGCCCTGTGATACAACCAAGGTCAAGAGGTCGACCAGTGATACAGTGTTTACACTTTACCTTTCACACAAAGCAGCTGTACCAAAAGGACATTAGCTTTTTACATCAAAACTTCACTACAGAGCTTGGGATAACACAACAGTGTTGTGTAGTGGGGCTCAGGTGATCGATCCCAGTCTGTATGTCTCGGGCAAGATACTAACCACACGTTGCTCTCCGATGCATCCATCGGAGTATGAATATGTGTGGATGTTAGATAGGAAGCACTTAGAAACAGCGTAGAAAAAAGTTCTTGGGTGAATGTACAAGTTGAATGTACAGCACAAAAGCGCTATATAAGAACAGGTCCATTTACAACCAGAACATGTAGCAGTCTTCAGTTACAGTGACCACACAGTCAGTTAATGAGCTGAAGTGCTGCCACTGTTATTACACAAGTAGTGCAGTTAGCTCTTAAGTGATTATTAAACTGGCAACATTCACAAGAGTCTGAAGAATTCTCATCTTTTTAGAACCTAAATACTCTTAGTCGCTATAAAATCCTTTTAACCATCATTTTGATAATTTTACTGACAAAATCTTCAACTGGATAAAGATGGAAATTTCCAGATTTATCACAGGAAAAAACAAAATTGACAACCTTATCTTGCACTTAAAATTACAGCCTATGGCTTTAGATATGCAGCGTCTCTTTGGTGAAAAGTAAACTGAAGTCATACGGATCATAAACAACATGCAGCTGCATGTCTGGAAACAGGTGGAACTGATAACGTTATCAATTCTCTCGGACACATTTTGTTTTCATCCTGTTTTATTACATCCATGTAATTTCAGCTGATGACTCTCAGATAGCCGATGAGCCGGCTGTTTTTCGGAGTAGCAGCTATTGCACATGTAACATTTCATACCTGGATAACTGTTCAGTCATGGAGACTTCCTCGTCTACTTAAATCTTGAAATTACCGTCCACTTTACATGTCAGCAGTCTGTATCAACAAGGCAGTTACACCAGCAAATGTCAGAGATTTCAGCATGAGCTTAGATAGCTGACATTTACTTTAGACTGATAGGCTGCAGCATCTACATTAAGCATAATAAGCTCAGCTAAAAATCGGAACAAATATTTGTCATTACATCATGCTGCTCTGTGCCAGCATGGTCACTCAGATTACTTTTGCCGTAGAGATCACTCATTATAGTTACAGTGAATGTTAAAAATGGTCATTGGTGGCTGACTCTGAGAGACTCTGTCAACGTCCTTTTTTAGTAGCTCTAAGGCCCAAATCTCAACTACCACAAACTTTAGTTCACCCTCCTTCTGTTCAAAACATATAAAATTCCCACTTTTTTAAGTTTTTGTTCTTTACATACCGAGTGTGTTTTTCAAATGCGAATTTATCATGTTACGTACTTACACACCCAAACATGAACTTCTTGATGAAATAGGAATCTCCACATTCTTCCTTTTTTGTTTAGACATTATGACCAACTTCTAAGATAAGATAAGATAAGATAAGATAACCTTTATTAGTCCCACACGTGGGAAATTTGTTTTGACACAGCAGAAAGTGGACAGTGCAAAAGTTATATAGCAAAAATTAGAATACAATACAAATAATATGCTGTACACAACTGTACAGAATAGAATGGAATAAAATAACATACTATATACAGTAGAATAAAATAGAATATACAATAGGATAAAAATAGAATACAAATTCTATATACAACTGAGTAAAAATACTCTTTCTATATTATTATTATATTATTTATATTAATATACCTCGATGACTTTATTTTTTGTCTTTTGAGGATGAAGTTGTTGCAAAAATGCAATCCTTTCAGTGTGTATACACACTGTAGTATGCAAGTTTGCATCTGAAAAACTCTGGAAAAACAACATTTTGTGTTGTTTTTTCTTTAGACATTAACATGATTTCACATGAGCAGAAAGTACTTTTACAAAAAGAATACTAATTAATCATATAAAACAGCAATTCTATACTGGGGACCTCTCCGGGGTTTACACAGATATTCTCCGCCCATTCCTGCAACCCTGAATGGGATCAGCAATCAGGGACAGAATAAATTTCGGACACATCAAATCTGAAATCTTTATTACAAACAGCTGACAAAAAAAAAAATAATCGAAAACATGGAATTAAGCACTGTGTGGATTATAGCATCATGGTGGGATTATTTCAAACAGGAATGCTCTTTGAATCTATAAATACAGCTGAAAATTCAATTCAGAATTAAAAACCAAGCAATCAAATAATCTGCACTCTTTAGTTAGAGCCTGAGGTAGATGTTTAGTGCGTCTTTGTATGTTTGTGTGTGTGTGTGTGTGTGTGTACATGTTTAAAGATCTTTGTGAGGACAGAAAATTGGCATGCCACTATACTTGTGAGGACGAACAGTCACTTATGGAGACAAAATGCCTGTTCACACGAGTTTGAAGGTATTTTTGAGGCTCAAAATGTGGTTAAAGTGTCAGGGTTACTATTAGGTCATGGTTCGGTTTAGGCTACGGGTTATAGTATGGTATTCATTTTTGATGGTAAGGCTAGGGAAAGCATTATGCCAATGAGAGGTCCTCACCACAGATGGACAGTAACGTGTTACTGTCCATCTGTGGATTACTGTCCAAAGTAATCCGATTACTTTTTTAAAGTAACGGGTAAAGTAAGGGATTACTATTGCAAAAAAGTAATGAGATTACTGTTACTTTCCCGTAAGCACACTGCATTACTGCATTACTAAACTGTCGTGATTTTGTTTGTTAGAGTGTCACATGACAATGATCTACGAGCGACATCTGTGGCAGCAACAGACGTGTGTAGATCAACAATGGATAATATGGAGTGCAGGAGAGAGTTTGACCATGCTGCATTTAAAGCATGGACGTACTTACATTACTTTAAGTTTTATTCCGTAAAAAGTGACAAAAACATTAGCGTCTGCTGTACAGTCTGTGTGGGAAGAAAGCTACTTTCCACAGCAAAAACTTGAACTTCAAATCTGAGCAAGCACCGAGCACGCTGCCACGGGAATGTGAAATTCACAGAGAAACCCCCGGATCCTCCCACTGACGTGACACTGGTCCTCACTAAGATATGAAAACATGTGTGCATGTGTGTGTGTGTGCGTGTGTGTGTATGCATGCATTAGCTAGCTGCACTGCTGCTGCTTCTACGTCCTCAGTGGGCTGAAGAACGGGTGCCACAGTGCCTCCTCAAGGGTAATCCGTCTGGACACATCATATTCCAACATGCAGCTGAGCAGATCGAACAACTGCCTCTCCTCCTCGTTCTGCGTCTGCATGTACAGCTGAGGGACAGAAATAATCAGATTTCCTACAGCTACCAGTCCCAGCTCACAGCTGAAGCTGACTGGTTGATGTGAGGTACCTTGAGAGGTCGACAGTGTTTCCTGATGTATTCATCGTCCCAGTTAAGACACTCGCTGTGCACACAATGCTTCTTCCTACACAGATTACATGCACAGTGTTTATATTCAGTTGCAGACAAAAACACTCTGTCAACACACACAACACACTACTTCAAATTACACCTGGAGCTGAGGAGAGCATATTCACAAAAGAGATCATGGATAAGCTCTATATCACCATTTGGAGACCCTTGCTGCTATATTTGATTTTCCTGCAGATGCACAATCTTTTTAATCAAAGTGTTATTTTATATATTTTTTGTTCTTTGTGCACAGTTCCTTGGACAGTTCTTTAGAAAAATGCTGCATATAAGAGTTGTTTATTGGCACATGCACAGTGTCTGTTTGCACAAATGTAATGCAGCATTTCTGCCATGTTTAATATGATTTCTTTTGGATTTCACTGAAAGTGTCTCTGTCATCATCTGCATCTGTGGGTGCAAATATGCATTCATTTACAGACTATGGGGAAATTCAGCTGAACTTTGTGCTATATGAAAAGTTACATTCAGAGTATTCACCTCAGTGTTCAGATGTATGTAATGAAGTGCTCTTTCAGTATGCAGTGCAGGCTGAGTGCAGGAGTGCCAGTTAAGGCACTCCTGCACTTAACTGGGACTCAATTAGGGATGCTTTTATGCAGCCTCCATGGGTACGAACGACCTATGAGACCCTGAGAATGGTGCAGAAAACCCTTTGGGAAGGATCTTTGTAGGGGCAATGCATAATTAGACTGCTCTATGAGCCCTTTTGTCTAGTCATGGTTTCATGCCATGTTCTCAAATGTCCTTAGTTATCATTTGTTGCTCTTCTCTATTCGCTCTCCTATTATTAGTTCTGTGTTTTCTCTTGTAAGTTGTAAGTATGACTTTTCAACAACCACAGTCCTCCAGCTTCTTGATTTCATTTGTCTTTGACATCAAAATACAAGAACAATTGATTCACACGTGTGTGTGTGTGTGTGTGTGTGTGTGTGTGTGTGTGTGTGTGTGTGTGTGTGTGTGTGTGTGTGTGTGTGTGTGTGTAGCTATTTGTGTAGCTACCTGGTCTGTTTGAGCAGATGTGGAGGGACCGGTCCGAGGACTTTCTCCATCATGGCCAGATGTTCTTTACTGTCATGGGTCTGAAACAAAACCAGCAGTTATACTACTGTGTGTGTGTGTGC